ACACCATCTATATAGTGTCACTACGGACGATTTTTAATGTGTACACCATAGGTCGATTCATTTACAATGTTAGAACCTAGACCTTAATTTAGACTGCACTGATTAATTCCCAAACAAGAGTAATGTTCGTAATATTCTTTACTGTAGGCAACGTAATGACTTTGCTCAGAAATTCATGGTATCTCCATGAATTTCTTGAGGATCAATGTTAGGGCCCGGCAATGTATCGATTCCCGGGGCCCCTATCTCAAAAGTTCTAATTCCAAAACCACGATCGTGTTAAGATAAACAGAGTAATTTGCTAAGAGAAATTCATTTCTCTGCTAATAATGTTTCGAATCAATGTTAAGCTTCGCCAAGGTATCGATTCTTGAATCTTTCCTCCAGAAAGTTCGTAGTTAAAGATGGAACATGGTGTGATAAGAATCAAGGTGATACGTCGAGAGAGGGGTGCTGGATGAAGTGATTTAGTGTGGCCAATGCAGGGATCTGACCTACCTGTGCATACAGGTCTTCGGACTAATCCTTTCCTAGATTGGACCATGTTACAAGGGAATTAATCTTAGAGAGCAGTAATTGTTTTCTATCGCCAGAGGGAGGTGCAGAGGTTGTGGACTAGTTTGCTGAGCGACGTATCAACCACCGTAGACTCGTTTGATTTAATTGACATATGGTCCCAACAGTCTAAGAGTTTATATTAGTCCCAGCAAAACTTTCTTACCCCTCATCATGGCACGTTCAGTCGAATGGTATATATCTAGAAACGGGTTGCATGTATACGACAGAACATCGCGTGATAACAGTATGTTTTATGTGTGAAGGGCACAAAAAATAACGGGCATACAATGTTTACAGCCTACATGTTGCTTTATGTTGAGTTAAGCCAACAACTTATCCCGGAGCAAAGTCAGAACGTAAATACATATTCTGCCTGCATTCAGGATGGCCATGGAGGCTGTAATTCAACGATACGTTATATACCTACAAACCTCCCAGGCGGTCTGCAAACGATCTTTTATTTGTAGGTATTCTCCATACCCTAAACCTCTGGTAATTGGATATCTTGAAGTGTCCTGTCAAGACTCTAGTAAATCCTATTAATTTTCTTCAGTATGTCACTGAAAATGAACAGGTCTGAATCTTTGTCATATTATAACAGATGTTGTGACTTACTTGACATAATTAACCTTTGGAAACTAAATGGGGTCCAAGGAATATGGTTATAATGATAAGATACGACAGGTCTTGCAGTAGCAAGTCCTTGGTGGCAGATGAATTATGGTATCCGTGCCAAAGGTTCTGTGACTTGCAAGCATTGCTGGTGGCTGTGCTAATGTGATACTGCAGAAGCAGTAGTACGTTTTAAAGCTTGAGGCAATGTATTACTTGGACGCTTGATGTAGCAGATAGAACCCATGGTCTATTACATTCTGCCACCGCCAAGCGTTTCTTTTTGTACTATTCCGACATGGCTCTTTATTCATGGCTGTCCGAAACTTTCCACTAGTTCAAGCTCACGCCTCATATATTTTTGCCAAACTTTAGTCCAGACATAGACACAAAGTTCTTCCCCTCATCTTTCAAAATCAGCCATGAAGTAGCCACGCGCCATTTCTATGTTGATTTCCAGTGTAGTGGCCTCATATACCGTGGCGGCAATGGCCTTTTGAAGCGGCTCTCACGGAGAAATACCCACTCCTTCACGCATTTAACATTTCAAAGGCAGGACGGCTCACGTTCAAGTGTATCTGGAAGTGTAATATACAACCACTTGAACTAGCAGTATTGACGTACCAGCAAAAGTTGCTTTAGCCTGGATGGTGTCACAGTTTGATGTGAAGGAGACAGTAAATTTCAGGTGAATGAGAGCCGGATTTCTTTCAACGCACAAGCTTATCGTTTGTCGTAACTATTACTGATACCATCTTAAACTTTCTTATAAACCAAGATTTTACTAACATGAGACTCCTGGTGGCAGTTAATCTCCAAGCAGATCATACGGTGGCAAGGCAGTATCCATTGGCTAGAGGAGTGTTGGTGGCTGATGGACACTCCTCTGGACAATGGATACTGCCTTGCCACTGTGTAATCTGCTTGAAGATTAAATGGCAGAAGCATAATCATAATGTAATGTACTATTTGGCCTTCTAGCCTCACATAGCAAATCACTGTTTATTATGTTCTGCATAACGTGCCCAGTCTGTACGGAGAAGCTACTTCTTCATATTCTAAATTTACTCTGTTTTGGCTTCTGTTCATGGTATAACTAATTCAGCATATAAGATAAGACCAGAATATATCCCCTTAAGTGTTAATTGCCTCCCTGGGAAGACCTTGGTTGCACATCACGACTTTGATCCTTAGAAAACCTATAGGGTGATCCTTAATTTTTATCACCGCCCATTCTTTAGTGGAGTACACCAGGCTTTGAAAACGGATTTTGTAGAATTTTAAGAACATATGTCAACGCCATTGTCGGCGCTCGTCTACAGTTTCCCTCACTGTTATCAAAGCTAGCATTATGGATGGGTTAATCCTGGCTTAGCTAAAATAATCCGCGGGTCGGCCGTGCTAATGCCGCGCAATCTCCATGTCATGGACCATCCATCAGATCAGATATAGGATTGAATTTTTCGGGTTTCAGCACTAGGGTAGAACGACTGGTTGTTATAGAAGGCGAATGCATTGCAATTTCAAACTGAGAAGTCAATTTTTTCTCATTCTTTGTAATGTAGTAAGTTGCATCAAACCTATTTCAAAGCAAACTGATGTCTCTGAGGCAGAAATGCGATGTCACTGACTGAAAACGGTTACTTGTTTTGTATCGTAGGCTGGGTCTAGCTATTTATGGAAGGTATCCAAAAAATAAAGCAACGGCTCAAAATATCCCTCAACATTTGATGTACCAAGGAAAAAGGCAATGGAACGAAGGACACTTCTTGTCATTTTCTCAATTCCACTTCATAACTAGCACAGTGCGTAGAGATGCATTCCATCATTTCAAGGATCTTCGAATTCATCTGAACAGATATATTGCTGTGAAGAGCAGTGTAGACTCAGGGAAGCATGAAAAATCAATATTAATAGTATGCAGTGCTCTTATCTATTGTTAGGCGTTAAAACTCCTAGTGACAATCAATCAACTCTGACAGAGAGATGTCCGATACCATTCTTTCTCACATCGCTCTCAGTAATCATTCAACGTCTGAAAAGGCGACTCACATTCCTCTCGAGCAAAGAACAATTTTGTTGTTTAGGTAAAGTATAAGACTATGTAAATTTTACGGTAGATTGCCATTTGCATGGTAACGAAAGAAGCATTCTTTTCGACCATGTATTTGAAACATTCGGCTGCCGAACGTAGCCTCCACCATCTTGCCGGTAGATCTGGCACCGTACGAAGATTCAGTTCTTCCCGCTCCTACCATACAGGTACATTCACATTGTACACCCGCTTAGGGAATCGTAAACCTCCGCTTATTCTCTTACAAAGGCTAAATTAGTTAGAATGGGCTTTTACGCCCTGACCTGCGGGTCAGAGGGTCATGATCTTATTAGCTGCAGACACAGAAGGCCACATTTCCTTCAACTACCTCCAGATTTCCAACTAATCTAAAAATCAGTAAATTAATGCCAGGGGCACTACGTATTCATTTAGAGGCGCGCGTTCTGTTTTCTATTGGCACAGTACTGCTTTACATATCCGAGTTTAGATTCTATGTCTTCGTACATTCAGTAATGAGGAATCAATACAACCACTGTTGTCATGCTCATATGTTTGATAGATAGAAACAAAACATTCTTTCTTCATTGCCGTAAAGGATGACAAATCAGCAGATAATTCCATACGTGTAAACCCACTACTGCTTGATGGATGGATTCCCCACCATCGGCTAAGGCGGACACTGTGTCTACCTTAAAGATTGTCGCTTTCAAGTTAATTTTGATAAAACCCAACATGTTTCCATTCAATCATCCTTCGTGCCGACATATTTCATAAGATAAGATTCTTATGATTCGAAACGACGCAATACCCTTAAAGGGCCCACAGAAAAGAAAAGCAATTAGGCGCAGTGGTCAGACCTAAGCTTTTCAAATGGAAATACAAAGAGGTGATGAGGTCAGCCCCAGAGTTATTCGGCGTTGGCTTCCCCCGAGGACTTTACCTCGTTCTATAAGTAGCCGTATACTCAGTAGATTTGTGTGAATAATAACATTACAATGAAACGCTTTTACAATGAAAGGAAATAGTAGATTTATGTGACGAAAAGACATGTGATTGCATTTTAATACGCGAAAGATAGTAATCTGCATGCCCCAAATGTCTCCAGACATGCAAATTGTGGCAATCCTTCTTTTGACAAGATGCATACTCGTCGTGTAGAAGGGCAAAATTGATGGGAGTAACTTTGAAAACTGACACAAGTTGACACATTCTTCAATTGCAGAAAACGATTGCACCAATGCTGCCGCTCTTGGTTAACATGTATTACCTAAATATGCAATGTCAAAATATTTACTTAACAATGTCAATGTTGTACATCGTCTTATTGATCTTGCAAGTGTGTGAAGAGAAAAATAAAGAAAAACAATAAGAAGAAAGCATTAGCAAGAAATTCACTTTTTTTAATTAAAAAAATCATTACATTGATAAGTAACACAAGGCAGTATTTGGAGTATTGTTCCTGTACGTCAACGACTCCTGGAGGTGAGCTTGGTGTAGTGCTCCCCTGTGATTGGTTGGTAGAAAAATGATTGACAGTTAGGATAGACGACGCGGGGATCTACAAGCACGGGGATTGTGGGTCCTTCCGTTAGAACCGGAGCTAAGCAGGATTGAATATTGTTAAAAATTTATAGTGTCCCTGTTTTTTAAATCTATAGATAGAATAGTTCTGGTATTTGTACTTTATTGTTAAAAGTCTATTCAAACATATCAGCCATTGCCACACGTCGACAAAGGCTGCCTCTTCCCACTTAGCACTGGCTCCGGTAGGGGGCGCCACTGATCGGTCCTACCTGGTGAGTTGGCGGAAGCTGCGGCTGAAGCGGCCCTACATGCTGAGCGAGTGCAGAGAGTTGGACAGGGCTGAGCTGGATGAAAGGCTGGATGAAGATGGAAGGTGTGAGGAGTGGAGGTGCACATGCTGAGTTACCTGCTCGGCACAGCAGCCCTCCTCGCCGCACCCGTACTCCGGTAAGTTGGACGTGGAAGCACACGTACAAACTCTCATCTCGTCTTCTGTTAATTCTCCTGCAATAAAGGCATCATATCAAATATGGTTCATGGACGTCACCAAGTGATATGGGGTGGAACTGCAGTGATACCGGGCAAAGCTAAAGGGCACGCAAAAACATACATTGTATGGCACCCCAGCCAAAATACAATGACTGACAATTCACAATAGTAACACATGATCAATTATGCAAAAGAACAATATAGACTGTATCTGGCCTTTGACTTAGTTGTGTAACCGTAAGTTTTATTTTCTATGCCATGCCTGTACTACGTGCAGAAGGCTGCCGCGCGACATCTAGCTATGTTTTCCGGAACTGCAAGAAATGCAGAACCCGAAGATGTATACATATGCATGTGTTAATCAATGTTTAACGGCATTGGATATCAGCACTGCATAGTTTTTGCTTAGTACTATCATACTTAAAACATGTTTTCTCATCTGCCAGCACAATCCGAGGTCCCTTTCCCTATAAGCTGTTGTAATTACCTTTTTTCCAATCAAAATGTCATTTTAATTAAACTTCAACCTCATCTGGCTTTATCTCCCTCCATATGTCTGACTTGTATCACCCAGCGCGCCGTAAAACACGTTTATTGTGTAACGTAAAGGACCTTAATCAAAGTTTTGATCCCATATAGTCAGCCATGCGACGGTCGTTAGAATTGTTCGTTTTTGCTTTGGGCATGTTGCCAGTCTGAGTCTCATAAGGAGGCTATTAAGTTTTGTCAGTAAGAATGACGACACCATCTGTATGACTATCATTGAAAGTCTACACCATGTTTGTACACTTGCATATTGCATTCTTACTGCTAATTACTGTATATATCTACACGCTTGTAAGAAATAGACTACTACATAAGATTAAAGATGGATGAACAAACGGACAATATTTTAATGAATATTGAATATTCATGTCTGTAATTCCTTTAATGCCACCAAATCCATATTTTTATGTATTATCATGCATCTCCATACTTTTTGTACAATTAATATGAATGATAGTTTGATTTAAATTTTCTTTTACCAAATTCAACCCAATACCAAATTCATCCTAATATACAGCATTCAAAGCAAAGCGTCTGTTCATTTGTCTATATTGTCTTGAAAATACATTTTGATGGTTATGCTCCTCCTTGAAATAAAGAACTGTGTTCTTACCGACATCTTCCACCGAGATAACTTCTACGTAGTTGGAAGGGAAGACTCCTAGACTGCCCTGACACCGGCCGTACCACCAGCCGGACTCATCCCTGTTCAACACCTCAATGACGTCATACACCTGTAGCCTCAGTTCGCCCTCCTCCTGCGGAGAGTAATCGTACAGCGCACGCGCGAACCTCTTGTCTCGCACCTTCCTTCCTGTAACAGAGTTAAGACTTTTCTGTAAGAAAAGTAGCTGCAGGCTACCGTACTTTCGCCGTTTTTGACCAAGATTCCTAAGTAACAGAGTCAGGATTTTCTGTAAGAGAAGTAGCTACAAGCTACTGTACTCTTGTATTGTTTTTGGCTATTATTTCCTAGTAACAGAATTCTACAAGAGAAGTAGCTTTAGTCTACCGTACTTCTGCGCTGTTTTTATCTAAGGTTCCCAACATGATTTTACTTAAATGTACGTTACATGTACGTCCTCTATCAAACTTAAACTGATACAGCGGGAAAGCTATACAATGACATATAATAGGGAGACAAAGGGATACATTCCCAATATGACTTGATACTTATGATGTAGCATAATTATCACATTTTACATCTTCCTTTTTTGAAAGTTACAGAGTATCATGCGCAGGCATTGGAAGAACACTAGGAACATTAAGCATGTAGGAACATTAAAGAATTTAGTTCTTTGACTTTGTCATCGATGAAGGTTGGACATTCAGGTAAGGAGATACACATGAGAACTGTTACTCAAGCAAATGGATAGATTTTGAAAACTTTCAGACGTTTCAAGTAGTCAGTGATGAAAAGTAGTGAATGCTATTTTATCCTATTGCTTGAGTAACAATTTTCTTTCTGTCCTTTATCAAGCCATGTGATCACAACACACGCGCAGAGAACCAGAAATAGTACAGGAGTCACATGCATGGCAGAAGAGTGCCCGACCATCTATAGCGAGAGATAACACAGCGGAAGATGGTAAGTGCAGGTTAAAAATGACTCACTTTTCCTGTTATCGAACTGTATGATCTCGACGATGTGTGCGGGGATTAGGCCCAGCCGCCCGTCCAGGTAGCCGAAGTACCAGCCGCTATTTTCCGTGCTCAGCAACTGCACGACATCGTTCGTCTTCAGCTTCAGTTCGTTGTCGTCTTGAGGATTGTAGTTGCCTTTGGCGCGAGCAAACCGTCGACCTAAAGAAAAAAGTCAAAGAGAGAAAACAACAATTCATAAGTACATAGATATGCAAAAAAAATCTAGGTAGTTGAACATCTGGATGTTTTAGTGCTATCATCACAGACACAGAAAAGCTTCAGCATTCACACAGGAGCAGTATGTAGTTCTGCCTTCTTTCACTAGATGTCACTGATGTACAGCAGTTTTCTTTTGGTAAAGCAGAGCTCCTGTATTTCTGCACTAACCACTGAGCAGAAATAGAAATGTGCAATTACAAGATGTCAAATAATGTCCAGACAATTTATCTGAATATAAAGTTCATAATATTTGAGGCATTAAAGAGACAAATCTGCGCAACAAAAATTGAATATGTTATTTTTCAAAATAATATTCGTGTGATTGTAGTTTACCTTTACTTCTTAACATATTTCTACAATTATCTCACATCTCTGGCATTTGTGGTTGGCTCTGAAGCAGCCAACACGAGACGATCTCAGTTTTTGGCACCACCAAAAACTACCAGACTGTAAACAAACGTGTTTCAAGCTTTGAAAAACAGTCGTAAGGCGTCATATTTTTTCACCCACACCTCTTGAATGACACTTATTTGCAATGGAGTAGGGTTGCTTCAACTTACGTTGTAAAGAAATGACCAAAATAGACTTTTTGCTTCGTCCTTAAGTTACATAATGCAGCTCTAATGAATGCATCGGGGCAGACTTTGTCTCTTTTTTTCCGCGGAATACGAGTACCAGGCCTGTCAGATTTACGTAACGTGGAATAAGAAAGTTAAAGTCGTTAGCCACGGGTGAACTTCGGCCTTCATGATCATCGATCCAACTCGACACTACCATCAATCTTGGGACGCCGAACCACTAGCGGTTTGACACCCAGACTACCCGGTGGTAATATTTGGCAGGCTCGCAACTTCAAGATATTCACAGGGGCGCCAGGGTATCGTAAAAAACTCCTCATGAAGGGAAGCTGCCGGCATTTTGACCTACAAGTGTTCCACCTATGGCAAGCTAGAATTGCATTCTGTGTAGAAATAAAAGCCCTACAAAAGGGTCTGTCCTTGGTGCTGACTGCCTGGTGTTGTTACGTGTATACTCCTAATGTTACCGAGCTCCGGGGAAATTTAAAATGTTCTTGGCATCACACACGCACTGATAGCACTTTCTGGTCCGGTTCCAGGTTCTGGAATTGCTCCAGGAGGTTCTGACTCTAAGAACGTCATTGAACTCGGCCAAAACTGTTTCTTGGGTCCCTGTGCTAAAGGATGTATTTGTCGTCCAGTCAGATAAGCGGTGATTTGGGGTTTGCATGGACTTCGCTTGGCAGTTATTTATTCCAGTGACAGACATTTCCAAAGATCTATTGTACTCTTTATTGTCCCCCTGATGGTTACGTACAGTGTTCTTAGGAAAGTTGACCCGCGGGGGACCGATAGACCTTTTCTGTATGAATGGTTCAGCCATGTGGTCAGATGGAGAGGTCGGATAGAGTTCAACACATGCGAATGTAATACTTGTGAGAAAGGAACAGATAAAGTGGCCACGTATATTACGTTAGGTAGATTTGTGTCCAATTGTGATTTTCAAGCAAGCAAGCAAGCAAACGAACAAAAAGGGTATATTCTTCATCAACGCCATATGTATATGTATAAGAAGGAGAAGACAACATCGGTCTGTCGTTAGCCTGGCTTCTTCTTCGAAACATTGAAGGGTGATTCTTGTGTCTGTAAAGCGTAAAAGCAAAAAATGAACTTATGCATGATTCGCATAAAGAGTATAGGGCCCCAAAAGATGTACAGAACTTCCACTGACATCCCCACACAAACATATTCATTCCTTGACAATTATTTCCTGTCCGCTCCCTAACTATACAATAATGTCCAGTGTGGTTACCGTATATAAATGCACCTTAACGCCCGAACTGTCACTTAAACATGCCTTTCGGCAAAATGCTAGTGACCTTTTAACACCATCTTGACATTTCCGACAGCAGAAATAGACAGCATGTCTACATGATACATCTTGTACAATGACGAATGTTCCATTTAAACCACTAACCTATCCGTCTTGTTAGCGTATCGTCTACAGGCAATTTGCAATATGTACATATGAATAGCCTGACTCCGTCTACCAGGCTAATTACTTGGGCACCATTGACCTTCTGTAGTCTGAACTTCCGCCGGTCTGACATCACAATCCATCACCTCTGTTAGCTTTGCCAACACCTCCAAACCGATCGGTTTCTTCTTCTGTTGTTTTTTCTTGTATTCCAACATTTAACACAAGACATGGTGACAGCACATTCAAGTTTTTTTCAACTTTTATGCCGCCACCAACACAGAGGGCAATAGACAATTCACATTTTTACCTGAGTTAAGTGAAGAAAGTCGTGCAAAGTGGCTTTCTCAAGAGCACAAGATCGGTGGCATCGAAGGTTTCGAGCCACACAGTCCCTGTTGGCTTATGAGTTTGAACGTCGTCTCAATTGCTTCCTTTCACTTCAAGAGACAAGATGTGTCTTGGTGTTTGACCTAAAGGGGACTGTGAGAATTGACATCCACAGGCATTTTTTTTTTACAAAATGTTCACCACATAGACAACTCACCGTACCGCTACAGACTTGAGGCAAAGTCTCCCAGAATGTTTCCTACTGATGTTGATGATGAGAAAGAGCTAACCATTGAAAATGTGCCCACGCTTTCAATGCAGCAGGAAGAACTAAGCATCTACTTATCATCATGAAGGCCTTTTCTGAACCGGCTCCAAGCAGCGCCTGGCTCTTTATTTCTTGTAGTGCCCGTGTTGACATTTCCGGCTCAACATGTATACCCAACACATCGAACATCCTAATCTAAAGGAAGCGGGAAGGCGTAAAGAATTTCATGCCAACTGCCGACACCACACTCAATTTTTCATTAAGATCAAGACAGTAAATTCCGTGCGGCCTTTGTGACACGATAAAGAAATCCATTTATTGAATGCTGCCCTTCCGATAACCTCTAAGGGAAGCTGCTGGAGATTTACGTTGTATTCTTTTGAAAGTCAGATCTTATCAATATCGCCATCTTTGAGATGGAAATAATATCTGATGTATAGTATAATAAAGTTACAAAAGTAGGCAATGGATTTTCCACGCGTTGTTTCTAATCAACATAAAACTATCGATGTGTTGGTCCCAAGGGAAGGAATACTAAGTTCTTGTGTCATAACTCAATTTTGACTTTATGAAAATGAGTTGAAACACTGCGTCTTAGTTCCGCCCCTGTGGTTTCTGCAGACTTGCATCCATTACAATCTTCCTCTCCCATTTTCCCTGTCAGTGCTGTATATGAATCATACGGCGGTGGGTGATTATCAGGGTAATATTGTATTGTTCACCTCATGTAGGGGCCAGGGGGAGTGTTACATAAGCTGACAATATAACTTCTGTGGTCCTATCCATATAAATAGAACCTTGGCATAGCCATAGTATCTAAAAGTAGCACAGTTCAGTAATTTAGAGCTGTTATCGAAACAGTGGTGGGCAAAGTGACCAATTTGAGAGTACAGTCTATACGTCAACACTGTAATTACAGTCATGGTAAGTTGGTCTGCCTTTACTTGTACTTTCAAAACTGTTTAACTTGCACTTACTTTCAAAACTTTTTCCATAATTAATGACCACTTCTAGGCATAGAGCTAGGTGATACGACAGACGTGTGACTATGCCAAAAGATGGCGGTGAATGTTTGTTCTGAAAGCTTGTGGATTGACTTCTGATGAAGGGAAGCGTGTGTTTGGGAGGGTGTTACATAATTTTGCAGTCCAGGGAAAGAAACCGTTGCTGTAGAAGTACTTTCAAACAGGAATTTGAAGGGTGCAACAATGTGAACTGGAGGAGATCCTAGTGGCACGCTGAAAAGTCTTCAATGTTGGAACTTGGCGTCATCAAGTATTTATGAGACGCTCTTTGAAGGGAGCACCCCCAAAGCCATACAACAGAGTTCGTGTTCTCATACAAAGCCACGATAGATCAGGGCTGACATGTGTCGAAGGGTTACTATTACTATTCAGCGAGCATCGATGACCAAGGGCAAGGCTTTTCCGAAACGTTCTTTGCTGAAGTAAAAGAGACAAATTAGGCAGCTAGGGGCAACATTAACGAGGTGAGCAGGGCGTTACCATGACCTTTGTTACAGAGGAGACCATTCATCAAAGAATACTACAGTAGCGAACCATTTCTATGTAAAGTAATTAGTTTGTGCATATTTGACTTTTAAAGTAACAGAAATAAAAAAATGGCCGAAACGAACAAACATGGACCATACACAAGAGTTTACTCTTGTGTATGTATTTTGTACCATATACATGCAAAAAAATGTATATACTTGAACGATGTAAACGTTATCGTGTTGATATATTTTGTCTGGCCTTTACCTCTTCCCTGATGACCTCGATGAAAAGCGGCTTGCATCCCGATTTGAGTTTCATGGATGAAGAATGGTTCAAACTAAAATGTGAAGTAACAACATCCCACTACTTTAAATTCGTTGTCAACTTCACACGGGATTATATGGCGATCGTAAGAACAAAGAAGTAAATTCCATCGCCTAAACACTTTGGGAGCTCCATCTTTTTTCAACAGCAAGAGCATGAATCTACACATAAAAGCTAAAAGATAGTTCAGAAGTCACTTTCCTTTCGGCGTACTTTTTGTATATCTATCATTCACCACAGTACATTTGATAAAAGGTATATTTTTGCCTCAATGAGTTGTCGACTTATCACAAGGGCATCCCCTTTATTCACCGACTCTTCCCTGCGACATTGGAACTCGCTTATCCCACATAAGCCCAGTTATCGACAAGGTTATGAAGTATCCTCGCGTATGTCAGATATACTGTTCTATTTTTAAAAATCCATGTCTAGCGATTGATTTTTTCTCAACCCTTTTACGTAACTGTCAGTAACAGACTTTGTTTTCTCCAGAAGTCTGTAAAGACAGTAGTCAATATCATGTGTTGATAAGTTATTGCTGATATATGTGCGCTCATCCAATGCTTTTCAATTCATCAAATTCACAATTGTAAAACATTTGTATGATGTTTTCCCGAATTCGAAATTCTGTCAAGAAAAAATTAAATATTGATTGGTAATCATCAATAAGACCATTTGACAGTGGATAAATGAATCATTGCAATACCTTTGTAAAATCTGTGATTTCACTATCTTCTATGACGTTGCCATGTCGTCTCCAAACTGATATATATAGCGACCGCTCTTAAATCAATCAAATGAATGCATACGGAATATCACAACCTTCAATTCTGAAAGGTTATGAATACCTGTCAAAACTTAGTTACACAGGTAATTTTTCAAGGCATTCAAAAAGGTCGATACCCTTGCCTGTACTTTATCAAATCTGGTTCAATATTTGAGTTTCCATATTATTCCATACCCCTAATACCTCACGATGCTGAGCTGGAAGATTCCAATCTAATGACTTTTCTGCGACCGCAGGAAACCTGCTTCGATTTCATGTCACGAGTCACGAGGCTGAAGGCCGGTGTTTGATGGGATCCGCGCGCTGTTTTGTTTGATCACATCTGACATTTGCACCCCAGATTCATCCATAAAGTACAGCAGCACGCTGCGGAATAATGGCTTATTACATCCCGAAAAGAATGATTCGAAATGAACCATCCATCATTCACGACAGGAGGAAAGTAAACAGGACTTGAACCTGCTCTACTTCACAAAAGCAAGTACGTATCAAGTTCTCCACAAGTCTCAGGATCCAATCATCAGAAGCCGATACGTCATACTCGAAAGCCAACACAAACAACAATGAATCTCTAGGATTTATTTGGAATGAAATCTTGTTTATTACCGTTTTGCGACCTATCAAGACTACGAATCTAGAGGTTGTCTGTAGGAGGAAGATTTACTATCACATGTTGCTGCTTTATAGCTAACTGTAATTTCCTCCTTCAAGGTTTCTCGTATTCTACGAGTACCTTGTGATGAATAGGGTTAGCATATTCAATGTCATTTTTTGACAGACGTCATCATTAATCACTGTTGATTTTCATTGGTCTATCGATTGGTCCATTATTGTTGTCCTTGAAAGAAGCAACAGCAAACATGTCTTTGGGAGACAATTTGAAGCGAATCTTTTCAAAAGGAACAAGTTGCGGAATTCTATCACTGTAGCATGTCAAACAGGGCCCCTTTGTGCCTACAAGGAGTATTTCTGAAAGAAATACATCACAGCGTCTCTGGTGCTGACGGCGCTCATCTATTAGCCGCGCGGAATGTCTTTTTAAATTATTCATAGCCTTCCCTTGCTTCAATTTGCCGGCAGAATGTTTATTAAACCACAGTTGGCCGTGTTTACGTTATTGTTCTGACCTTGGGAGCACGTCCGACTCTCGATCATGCTATAAATGATCCAACCCGCAGCGCGGAAAATTGGCACGATTACGGAATCAGCCCGGCCGCAGACGTGACCTTGTCCGTGTACGAGATGTTGCGAGATCCCTTTTTTGTGGGTAGACAACGCCCTTGCCATTCACACTGAGTACGGAAAAGAGTCAGGATAAAGCTTGATCCTTGGAGACGTTCCACCCAAGGAATACACACTCCGGGTAAGAAGGGGTGAATGGAAATCTGATCATCAGACAGTAAGCCAATATCTTCCCGTGGGTATGTTATAAAATTTATTACCCGGGGCTGTGTTCTACACAGGGGGAATGCACGAAGTTGCCTTGATGGGGCTCATAATAAGGTTTTCCGTACGTGGGAATCCGCAAATGGGGAGCCCGTAGAGGGGCTCCGTACACGAAGCTCCATGCATAGTACTAGATACCCAAGGTACAGTTAAATGCTCAACCTTGAATTTTGGTCTCCGCTCAAAATGCTCGTTAACTTTTTTGCATTAATTCACTTCAATTTTCTCTTAAAAAAAACAAGGCTCATAAGGACCACTCATATGTTTGGGTTGCATTACTTTGAGAACAGAGGTTTGTTTACCTTAGACTTGAAACGTTTAAGGTTGTACATAATAGGGTACAAGGAAGCTTGGTCCATAGGGATGTAGTTCTAAGAAAGAAGCTTTAAGTGTAAAACGTACTCATGAGAGATGGGGCATGGAAGGAGAATGGGTACTTAAACGTGCCTTGGGTCGAAATCCCTAGAATTCGCAAAACGTGTCCTTGTTGGGAAAGTTCGGAGGGGGTAAGGAAGGTTCCATACTCAACCTTTCTGCTTTCGTTGCACATTCACAAGCCTGCATATACACGGCTTCATACAAACAAGCTTGGACCTTTCCCCCTTAGACACAAAAATTAGCACAGTCGACCACTAACTTTCCTCCAACAACTACATGTTAACTTCGTCGAACGCAAGAAAAACGTAAATCCGACATTCTTTCTATCCGCACTGCAGCCCTCGTCATGTTCAAATGACCAGCAAACAATTTCAAAATTCCTGGAAGTATTTGTTAGACCTTTTGTGAATTTATTGGACTACACAAGCTAACACAACGACGCACAAAGCAATACCTCGGTACTCAATAGTAATAACGCGGATCGCCAGCATGGGGTCATAACTGCCAGGTAGTTTGCAGTAAGTTCTTCAACGTAAAGTCCCTTACCGTCATCGCTGTCAGCTGACCTTGGCCGGTACCTAGGCTCCCTGGACGGGTCGTTGGCTGGTGCCACCTCCTGGTCAGGCTGCTGCGGCCGGATGGGCGAGACAATCCTCACCACCTGCTGACGGTAACACAGTTTAGAACCCAGTAATTATAAACATGTTGCAGCAGTATAGCACATTTGTACAGCTAACAACATTGCATACGCATTAATATAGCTTACCACCAACAGTTCGGATGGTTATAGTGTCGTAGAAGTTCATGCCGTCGTTCTGGAATAGTATAACGAGCGCCGTAACGGTAAGACAAGTGGAATCTATCTTTAGACCGATTACGCCATGCTAAACAGTACTGTAGAATGGGGAGGGGAGCATGATATGACCTTTGACATAGGTCACCTATAGGTCAACTTTAATCACCTGATTGCACACTACCCGTCGAATTCACAGTTACGGGCATTACAGATATATTGTATTCCATGTAAAATCTTCTTAAATTTTCCTCTGACAGTTTAAATGCATCCAATGCAATTTCAGGGCAGCAAAACTGGAAATATTCTTAATATTAATACATACTATCCCGTATAGTTTCATCAGCATTTCATTTGGTACTTTGGGCGCCAAAACAGTGCAGATAAAAATAAGTCCCAATTTAAACCCTTCATTTTCTTCTTTTTTATAAGCAGCCCGATATCCTACCATGATAACCGTCACAATTTCTGGCATTTTTCCACAATGGCGATATACATTGGGGTAGTGTTGTTTCAACATAGCATGTAGATAAGTGACTATATTTGTTACTTTGAAATCTGTTTTTTAAGCCCTAATGTATGAGAACCTTTTAGGATGAAATGTCTTACCTGGCTATTACTTCTGCTTCTACTTCTTCTGCAGGCGAGCACCACCAGGACGATCGCCACGGGCAGGAAGACTCCGCCTGCCACACCGGCGGCCAGGAGAAGCAGTTCTAGAAAATCCTCTGGAAGTTCACCTGAGTTTCACAGATCAATAAGAATATGGTATTGGATTTGTAAAAAAATGCCTTTCAAGTTTTAGAGAGAGGTTTTAAAGAGCAAATGGTTTATTCATTAAAAACAAACACTTGCAGCATTGGCTGAATTGTGGTTTGTACACTTTTTTTTACGAAGCAGCCGTATTAAAAACCGTACGACAAACAAAACCTTCAGTTCTTTTAAACCCGGGTTTTAGGTAAGAGATTTTCTTTATGCCGGGGTATCAAAAGGAGTAAAACAAAATTTCTATAGTTGGTGTTTATCGACATCATGTAATCTATTATTTGCACATTACTTGTTTATTAATGTCAGTGTATGTACATATTGTTCTAATTCTGTGTGTCATATAGGTGTGGGATACTGTGTGTTTTGCTCAGTCAGTATATAAACGCACATCCTAAGGAACAAATACATATAGGTTGAGTGATGTATTCTTCAATGAATCAAAGGTAAGGCGTGCATTTAGTCGATTTTTTTCGCCTTTTGGTTGAAAAAAAAGTATTAAAGATCAGCCGTCCGCTCAGATTTTCTACTGTGCCAACATATTGTCCAACTCGATAACCTCTGCCTGAAACATGGTTCTACATATGCTGCCGCCAACAGTTTATCAATAAGCCCCTCTCCGGAGGGAGGCTGTCCTGGCCCCGGGTCAATTTCGTGTACTTTCCGATGACGTGCGATCGTTTCTGCGTTAATCCACAAAAAAGCGAGATTAATGACTAGATGTGCAGAAAATTGATCCGGAGTACGTAATATCTCGAAGAGGGACCTTTCCCTGGGCCCAGATGTCGTGAACTCTGCCGAAGATTAACGTGGGTGAGTGGAGAATCACCAGATGCTCTTGCTTTTAAGCTTTCCTGATGAAGTGGGGACGCCATCAATTCTACTTCCGTCGACCCCAAGGTTTCGTGCAATCCAACATATCTACCACCGCTATAAGCCAAAGTACTTCTCGGCTTAACTCCTTCACAATGGTACAAACGAGCTTTTTGAGTGTAGAGTTACATGTACACGTGTTTATTGACCTGTGTGCAACAACTCTCGATACCAATTATTCCGAATATGACATAACCACATCCCACGTTTCCAACGCAGAACCGGTGTACATCGGAAACATCCAGTGTAATCGCAAAAGAAAGGAAACATCAAGTATGATATGCGACTCTCTGGTGTATTTCTATCAACCTCAAATTGCAGTAGTAGTGGATTTTAGCCTAAAATTTGGCAGAATCCAGCACTCAAAGCGAAGAATGTTGAACAGTATCAGTGTGTATGTATTTTGACACTTTCTCAAGCTAAGTTGAAGCTTTCATCCACACACATTTATTTACATGTACCAGCTGTCAATCCTACAACAAGCACTTAAGGGTTTGTAACTTTTAAGGAGATAACAATAATGTACAGATATTGTTCATTGCTTGAACATCTATGTTAGTGGCAAATACCTTCCTGAAATCTCGGCCGGCAGAGACAGTTTACTTTAGTGAAATGAGGTCAAACACTTTACAGTGATAAACTGATGAACTTCTTGGCCAACTTGTCTTATCTAATCTTAAACAAGGCTCTCCTTTCGGGCACAGAGAAACTCCCAGATATAGGACATCCGTGGACACAGGTGGACAGACAAGATAAAGATTTTTCACGTGGTAGCAGGGCTGTACGTCTTTACTTCCCTGACGAGTTTGATTGGCTCCGTTACAAAGGGACGAAGTATTCTAACGCTGCATATTCAGGTAAGATGATATGATAATCGTAAATTTAATGGGGAATTTTGTAACATTTTTAACCATGAATTGAAATATCTTAAATAAAGATGAATGAAAATCTTTGTGTTGTAATTACTTTCATTTTCATCATATTTGTGTAATTATTTCAGATTTTTACTTTAATATATAACTAACAGAATGTAAATAAACATGGCTGTCACCTTTGTTTCTAGCTTTTAAACACACTCGGAAGGAGTCATATATTTGGCATCCCCATGTCCTTAAATAAAAGGCACTTATTTGCAATGAAGTAGGACTGATTCAACTTACTTTGTTAGGAAATGGCCAAACTAACTTTTGCATCGTCTTTATGTTAGATGATGCCAATATAAGGAGCCAAAGGCATTTGCACGTTTTAGTCCCCTAGTTGTCATCGCCAAATGTTACATAAAAACTAGGAAGCCTCAACTTGCACTTCACCTGAAGTTGTCCTGCCTTTATGACTTAGACATACGACTGAAATATCATCTTAAAGAAACAATGAAGATAAACGGTGAACATTGATCCACTGGAAACAGTACATCATGCCATGCGAAGGTCGCGATCAATATGTGCTTTCTTGATAAATCCACGCCAATAGCAGAAACAATCAAGAGGAATGCGTCCATTGGAGAGCAATAATTGCTATTAATAGGTGGCCATATATGGAAAAGTCGATAATGTCCTCTGTGCCGATTCACGGTTGGGAACACATCCCCTGCAGACACCCAGTCCTCACTCAGTCGATAAATTAGTAAGAAAAACAATTCAAACTTTCTGTGTCAACTACATGTAGGTATTTTATAATCTCGCCTCCATGTTTTGCCAATGTTTTTCAAAATATTACCAAAGTACTTAACAAACTACATTGCCAAGCCAGTGATGTGACGACCGCGTCTGCATTGCTCAGAGCCAGTCCACGGACGGAAACGAAATAGCTCTTTATTATACCATTTAAATCAAAGGAAATAATGGTCCCATAAGTTTCGCATTGAGCGGCTTCTGATGGCGAAATAATCGGTAAAACCCCGGTACTTAGGGACGTATGTGCTTTGGCTCCCGGCCAAAGTAGCAATTGCCCCAGGTATAAATTGTCAATCGAAACATAGGGCCGTGCCTCTCATCGGAAAATCATCCACGGTCGATCAAACAAACGGGAAAATAACATCTTTTTCTTGGTTTGAATGGCTTCACACGTCATTCACTGGTCGATCAGCCGGCGGGTTGACTCTCCAAATCAATGAAAGTTTTAAACTTGGAGTTGTCGGGGTCAAATATCAGATAATCGAGCAAAACTGCTATCAATGGTGCTAAAGTAGTACAGACTAATTCTTGACAGAGAATAATTAGTTTCTCTATTTTCCAACTTCTGATCTAAAGGTTGTGGAGCGAAAGGGCATGTTCTGGAGAGGGTATGTCGCTGGCATTGGCATTAGATATATAATGTGCAGATTTTACAGAGTCAAATGTTTATATATGTGCCACTCACATCACTGCACGAAATCCTACACTTTGGCATACCTTAAAATATGCGTAAAAGAAGTAACGGTACCTTTACGTCTGCTTTAAAACTATAGAATTTGTGCAGTGCATGATGCGCACTGAAATAGTTCGTGTAAAATTCCCAACCTGAAAATATCCACCTACAGTGCAGTTGAGGACAGAACAGATGAGGACAGCTCAACGTCAACCTTTATATCTGCGAGTTCAATAAAACTGAAGAAGCAACAGATCCATCGTCAAGTTGTCTATTATTAGATTACCCAGTGCTACGTCATTGTGACGTCAAGCTTAGCCACGTAATGTCTTCTGTGGCTTGTTTGTGATGCGCTATCTCTGGGGAGATGGCAGATATCACTGTACATTACTTTGATAGTGTATTCTACACTGCGGTATAAGTGGTTTTCAGCCTGAAATTTTGGCAGAATCCAGCACTCAAGGCGAAGCATGCTGGAAAGCATCAGTGAATGAGTTTTGACACTTTCTCAACGTAAATTGAAGCTTTTTTATATACACACATGGTATCTGTCAGCAGTCAATTCTGCAAAAACAACATCTAAAGGGTTTAATGTCTTCGGGCGGATTGAAAAAGAGGAATAATCTACAGTATCCTCGTACGATTTCGTCCTAAGGCATTTCAGTTTGGGTTACTGGCTTCTTTGGCTGGCTGTAATGTAAATCACCTTTACAAACGACAGATTCCGAAGTTTCCCCACAACACCACCCCTGTAAATAATGCAAAAATCGCTTGCCTAACAAGTCTCAGAAAATCGGTGCGACTTCAGTAGGATCATGAATAGTTTAGTTACGATTCAATAGTGAATTGATACACCGCGCCCGTAGGCAATCCTTCCTACTATCCCCTCTATCCCGCCGGTGTTACGAATCGATACTTTAGTCTATCCCTGATTAATTGAAGATGATCTTTACAAACGAGTCGTGAAGTTGGCTGAAAATCTTGGCCCTCCAGCGCCCACTGGTCAATCGGAGTCTAATTTCTCCGTCGGTTCGGGTCAAAGAGACATTGATCCCATTACATGTACTCAATGATGGGATGTTGGACTTTCTCATTTTTTTGGCTACTAGTCATGAAAGTAAAGCCCGTCACACATTCGCGAATTTGGGATCTCGAGGTGCAATGTTGGCTGGGTTGGCATGATTTTGGCGAGGTCGGCTACAATTCGGCTGCGCCTGCAGAAAGTTTAAAACAAAGGGGGGTTGTTCAGGAGGTTAGGTCTTGTTTGGTCGATATTCAACTGAAAGTCAACAGGAAACCAGCCAACCAAAGTCAGCAATGTTTGGAACGTGTTCCCGAGTCAAATTTGACTCAAATTTAACTCAAATTCTTTTCGATTCGTAAAGAAAGGTAGGCTCAGAGCAACTAAACATCAGATTGTTTTCGGGACTAAATACGGAGGCAGGTCGTCAATGTGTGACAGGAGCTTACGATTGTAGCGGACAAAGTTCAGTGGTTTTGCAGAACTTGTTCTATGTGTAACATTTCTAATTATGTATCCGCTAGCGCTTACGGTATGTAGCAGTTGTGTTTGTGTGTAGAGGATTCGAGGAACTTTCTAGATTCTAGATTTTAACCCCATTGTGTTTAAGTTGGCAAAGTATAACAAAAGGAAAGATCAAATAATCGTCATTCGGTGCCATCAATAGTTTACTTCTGATGAATCACTAAATCAATTCGCATGTCAAGCCCTTCGGTTTCGATGTATTCACTGCATCTCAAAGTTATAATATACCTAAGGTATATGCTATGGAAACCTTAAAACTGGTGATAACTTACTACCTAACGCTGTGTGGTCCGTGTCTCGCACCGACAGCCGGACTGACATGTAGTCCTCCCCGCCCATGCCGTTGCTAGTCGTGCAGATGTACTCCCCGCTATCGTTGATCCTCACGTTGTTGAGCTTCAACACCGCCGACTTGGACTCCAACTCTTGGATAAGCTTCTTTTGTTTACTGACGACAGCCCAGCGGCCGGACGAACAAAATCCTCATTAGACAATCCTGACAACATCGTGCGCACCCGCAAGAAGTACACAGTCGTTACATTACAAAGTACACGTGACAAAACATATATAGAAAGTACAAATGAGAAAGCAAAGAAAGCAAAGAGAGTACGAATTCAAGAAGCAGAGCCTTCTAACTCTGCTTCGAATGCAAAAGAATCAAGACTGTATTTACATTTGTACATTGATAACAATGAAAATTTCTGTTACAGTAATACTCCCAGATTTAAATAACATCGATATGTCCCGTGTAAGAATATCAGCCTTATGATTAATCTAAATTTTGATAATTGTTTCCAATAGTTACAAATTTATGCGACCCTTAAGTGTGATAAAACAACAAATAGATCTTACTTTACATTTACCTTTGCATGCAAAATGATCTACATTAGGCCTAGGAAATTAACGTTGTGTGTCTGGTTTCAGTCCCGAAAAACAATGGTCGGTTGGTAGTTTAAGTCCTTTTTTTAAATGTGTCAAATGACGTTTCAGAAATTCATGGGCTTTGAAATTAAGATATTAGGTTAGATTTTATAGCCTTACCAGTGTTTGATCGGACAAAAAGTAAAGGGTCTCAGGGTTTTTGCTAGAGTCGGTGGGAAACTGGAAACACATTTTTCCCAGGCCTTAGTACAAGGACACAATCTGTATATCTACCTATGAGGGGCGATGACACGAAACCAGGATATGTTGGGCGGAGGATTCCCCTCAGCGTAGCAGTAGAATGTCGCGGAGCTGGAGGCATCCACAACCACATCACGCGACACGTTGATGATTTTCGCTGGATCTGAAAACCAAGGGAGGTGGTTGAAATTAGACTTTCGCTCTCAGATTTTAACGTCCTTTGTTAGAAGGTAAAACTTTTGTTTCAACACAAAAGGTAAATATTATCACCTAGAGCTTTCGACCATTCACTCTGGTCTTTCTCAGTAGACTGACCCAGTGAGATTTGTCACGTGGCTTCTATAAAATGTGACGTCAACACTGGGTGAGTCTTCTGAGGAAGACCAGAGTGACTGGTTGAAAGCTTTGGGTGAGAACATTTACCTTTCGTGTCGGAACAAACAAAAAAATAGGACTCCATGTTTTCACATGGTTCATACATACTTGGTTTATATGTAATGTAGGTGGCTCTATAGTGTATTTCATCCGTTTGCATTTGTCCAAATTACATTGAACACAAATGGCTACTATATGGTTTAGATTCGCACTGTACTATGTGGTCCCTATGTCTCATACAACGTGTACCATCTCCTAGTGAATGCAGGTATTTAGATTCAGTACATAAGCCAAGTGAGCTGTAGCGAAGCCACATTACAAGTGTGTAGCTACTAGAAAAAGCATCATGCTGAAAAACTAGATCCTTCACCTCAGCATGCTCGAGAATGACTGACGACGACATAACGCAAATCACATTTAGCTCCTTTTCTCTCTTGCTGAGATCAACAAGTAAACTTCAAAATTACACTTTTGTGCCTAAGTTGATTTGTTTCCCGCTAACTAAATACTGAAAAATCACATGTGCTGCTCACCCCTAGCTATTGTATTACCCTAGCAACAGGACGCCTATTGAAATACCACTGGAGAGGGTAGATGTCAAATGGCTGGCTAGAAATATATTGATTTTGAAAATTATGAATTGTTATCGCTTTCAGCCAGCAGGTGCCTTATCGTACTACAGTAATCGTTTGGTAGATCCATGGTGATTGAAGTGGAGCAGGGGGACTTTTAAAGGGTCTCCCGCATGAGTTGCGTTAGGGATGGGTTATGGGTTTATAATGACTTTGGAGACTTTGTTCTACACTCAGCCGATAAGGTCTTCAAAAAGTGTCTTCGACTCTGGACGGTATGATGTCGCATAGTCCTTATTTTTCTTTTATTCGGAAGTTTCAAAGTACCTATAGGCATGAATTCACGTAGCATCCACAAAGAAATTAATTTGTATCGCGCAACCCCTCTCACAAAGGAGCGATGTTGCAAGTCCGGCGTTACTATTTCGATGGCAAATGCTCCGCGGAACTTCACTCGCTTGTGCCCCCACTTCGAACTTTCTCGGCCTGGACACTTTTTGCCACTACTATGGAAGCAAATCACCCTTTCTTCCTCCATACTCCATCTCTCAGGAGAAAACTACACGCTGAAAAATTATTTCCTAGTGGTACATCACTATAGAACAAGCTTTCTTGTGAATGCTTCCCAAATGGGTACAACCTCCGGTACGGATCATCCGGTTCAGATCACGCTTCAGTAGAATAGATTGCATGTATGTATGTATGCGTAAAATGGCCCCAACAAGGTCGGTATGCTGACAATAGCGTACACTTTAAACAAATCCCGATGTTAAACTGTATAAGAACTCAAACAAGAAGCCCGCACGTTAGCAAGGCAATATCTATAGTGCCATCGGGCGACGTTCGACATATTAGGGTAATCAGGCGGACAATTTTGACCCTTGCCACATTGGCCACCTCCGTAGAATAGATTGCATGTATGTATGTGTAAAAATGGCCCCAACAAGGTCGGTATACTGACAATAACGTACACTTTAAACAAATCCCGATGTTAAACTGTATAAGAACTCAAACAAGAAACCCGCACGTTCGCAATGCAATATCAATAGTGCCATCGGGCGACGTGCGACATATTAGGTTAATCAGGCGGACAATTTTGACCCTTGCCACCTTGGCCACTTCAGTAGAATAGATTGCATGTATGTGTAAAATGGCCCCAACAAAAAAGCAAGGTCGGTATACGGACAATAACGTACACTTTAGACAAATCACGATGTTAAACTGTATAAGAACTCAAACAAGAAGCCCGCACGTTAGCAAGGCAATATCAATAGTGCAGTGCCATCGGGCGACATACGACATATTAGGGTAATCAGGCGGACAATTTTGACCTTTGCCAACCTTCAACATGATCGCTGAAACTAATGTATCGTGTTTCTGTTCAAGCTTTCCAGTACAAGTATACTCTATAATGTCGCTTCTATAGTGAAACGTCGACTTGTAATTTCATAATCAAGCGTGGTTTGTTTAAATACGTGTATTAGAAAGATTTCGTACTAGAAAAGGGGGTTCTGGTTGCGTACTAGAAGAGGGAGGGGGGCATGACATGACCCTTGGCAAAGGTCAACTATAGCCAACTTTTTACCTGATTATCCAAAAAGTGTCGCATTTCTCAAATAACACCAGAGGAATATTAGAGTGAAATAGGACGCTTTTGCTACTGGAACACGTCGGTCTGTTACAGTCTTCCTATTTTCTCAACCGCTGTCTTTCACCCAGGAACCGCTAGGTGGGTTTTACCTCAAACTGCGGTCATTACTTGCTATGTCTGGAGCTGTAAATGAAGCATACAGGGAGAAGGGGGGTGGGGGTGGGTGACGGTACCGGTGATACAGCATGTATGTGTTACCAGTTTCCCTCACATGATAAACTTTATTTCAAAGCAATGAATTGTACAAGGAACTAAGTATGGCAAAGTATGTCAACTACTGGTACATATTAACTACGGCTCCAGCTAAGTCTAATCCACCTATACAAGAGTAGTGTGGGATGAGAATGTAGTAGGGGATGAAGATTAGACCCGCAAAACTTATCTATAGTTTCCATTACGATAGCGTATATATGGGTCACAGGTTATGAGAAATACACCCAACGGCATTCACATTACTTTAGCATTAGCGGCATTCATAACCTAAATCTTGTTACTAGTTCCACTTGGGCGTTGTATGAACACTGCGGTAGGCAAAATGACAGGAGGAAGAATTTTGAGGCACCCGTAAGTCAGACTCAATGGCGTCTGGTACCATTTTGCACACGCCAAGGTCTATTATAAAGAGTAAATCAAGTCTACGTAGGTTTATTAGATATCTTTCATGTTTAATGTCCTTTTGGGTTACGGCTCATGTCTTTAGAGGCTGCGAATGAGTGTATATTCTGGAAGTTATGTGCCGCAAAGACAGAGTTCCTCCCAGAAACCATCTATAACCGCCCGGCAGAGATGGCCGCAGCCATATGTTTGGGACCAAACTCCAGGGATAAGCTGACGACTGATGAATGCCACCGTCCCACAGCCCCATTCCTCCACCTACGCAACTATTCGTCTCAGGCGTCCTCTCTGCTGGGCAAGTTGTAACCGAGTTAGGAAGGCTTGTTTCGGTGTAACTACTCACGAGCCACTGTGGCGTTTGTATCTATTAAACAAACAAAGGTTCAACATGTACGTGAAGCCCTTGCCACACATAGCCGAATATGGCCTCCCGAACACTAGCCGAACTCTCCCCAACCATGGCTTTGGAGTAGATTGGCAATCGGGAGCCAGTTTGAATGGGTCGGCAGATGTTCGGCCGGATCTGCTACTACTTGGCTGTGCAAGCTCAAAATGTTTTTTAAATATCAGGGTGTGGACGGTTGGCCGGTGGTTGGCTGGTGTGGTTGAAAGTCAAATTTGACTAAAATTTAATTCCCTTGGTCGGCTGGCACTCGGGGGAAAGTTCTGTGTGACAGGGGTTCGAAACATGGCGTGCCTCACGAATTGAGTAATTTATCGCTCTGAAGTACAGCTCACAAGAATTTGTCTTTTAATGATCTTCCTGTCTCTCCCTCTGAATTGAAATGAGTAATAGGACTGTTATTCACTCCCTGGGGTCTTTACCTCCATAGATACGGAGAGCTCGCTAACAAAGACAGATGGGTCACGGAGTCAGCCTGGTAACAGGGAATATCCTCCGAGATGACACTCAGGATCGAACCGCTGTGTCTTCGATATCTTTCTTGTCAGTTTTTGTCCCATCAGCTGGCAGGCAATACATCTGATGTGCATCTCTGCAGCAGCGTGGAACGATGGAGCTTATTCTCCGTACGATTCATTTTACACCTCAAATGTTTGCTCATTTCGGAATCACGCGTTGAAACCATGATGTGTGGCTCACTCGGAGGCCCTTAAAAGGTAGACTCACTGCTGTGAGAGACGGAATGTTTGTTATGTGAGACTCTTTATGTTTATTATACCCGAGCATAACTCTCATATTTCTTTTACTACACAATCACTTGCAGTGTTCTAACTCATGGGATGTGAGCTATACAGACAATGACTGCCACAAATGGATTCTACAAATCCACATTAAGAATTACTAACGTCATCGTCTCCTCTGCCAACTTTCAAGCGTGGCAGGACAATATTGTGATATCAATTTTCTTTCTAACGACGTTTTTACTTTTGGGTTTGGGTGTTGAGTCTCACTCAAGATTTCAATACTAAAAGTCAACGTTTTGGAACCCGCGATTCCTACCTGAAATGACAAGGTGGTTAGGGGCTGCTCTTTTAGAAATATTTAATTTGACCCCAATATTTCGTATATTTATTTGGTATTTTCACATACTATTATTTGCTAATTTCCATTTTGTGTTCGCCGTGATGCGTTTCTTTTCTTCGGCTTAAACAAGCGATATGTACTAAATCGCCAACAAGAAAGATATAGGAACCCCGTTGTCATGAGATGGGTATGACAGTTAGCCGTGTTGGTGGAGAGTGCAGTAGGGTGGAGTGATCCCAGGAGCACGAGAGTCACCATCAGCAATGCGGCGATGCATACCAGAATAGACGAGGACTTCTTTTTTCAAGTTTCCAATATCCATGTATAATGATACGTTGGCGAAGATGTATAGTGATGTTTAAAACCATAGCACACTCCTTCGACGCAATGTATTTAGTTGTTTCTGAATGGTCACATAAACTTTTTTAACAACTACATCCATAAAACGAATATATACATATTCACTTTTCTCAGGTTTGAGAGGGACATCTTGATATAATTACAAAATTTAATGTTCTGGCTATAGGGCATTTTCACATGCGCTGGATACCAAAAATAAATTTAACTGGGAACTTGTTGGCAGAATTCAATAGTGTCACAGGAAAACGAGTAAGTCTGATAGTACTTAAGGACCAAGAGAACATTTCTCTGTTAATATTTTGTTCTATATAACAATTACCTTTTTGTGTTGCAGTTGGAAAGGTAAGTATATGTTACCCAAGACGTTTCTCAAGCTGCTCTTATCTTTAACAAATATTTGACTTTCTTAACAATCTAACTTGACTTTCGATTACAGGTGTGCATGTACATATATGTTGACGAGGACTTCTTACAAACACGTTCATTTGTGACTTGTGTGCGTCCCGCTGATATCGAGGAACCGGCGGCGCAGAGAAGATTGATCAGGCAGGAGGAATTTTTCATCACGGCGCTGGCAGGGTATCGATACGCCTCGCCCAAAATTAAACGCGTCTTTCCACGCTCTGGCGAGCAGCACGCCGCGACATCTGGACGCGTAAATTGAGTATCAAGCATTGCACCTCCATTTTCAGCACAGCTGATTAAATCAGTCACATCAGAAGATGTAGTTGAAAGTACGGGGCCACTACTTGATAAGGTGATCAACAGAGAAAGTCGAGTTGAAAGATTTCTTTAAGAGCAGCTGCTTGAGAAACGCCTTGGGTAAAATATGCTTACGCATCCAAAGGACAAGACAAAATTTGGTAATTGTTATATAGAACTTGAACAAATGATTAACAGAAAAAAATTGCATGGCCCTTATTTACACTCTTTTTTTTGCCTAAGTCACAATTGAATTCATATTCAGAGTATGCATAACCAAAGAAGTAGAAACATTCTGGAAAGATATCGAACACTAGATTAGCTAACAAGTCTTTGGCCTGACTTGTAACTGGTATACTAGGAATATGTCCCTCCATTGTTAAATACACTTAAACTACTTGCAAAATGTATATATGTACTTGCAAAATGTATATATGTATTTTAAAGTAAACCCAAAATTTGTTTCCTTAAAAGGATTTGGTAATTTTGTTGTTGTTGTAACTTATTGTAAGATGGAGTTAAAAAAAGTACAGAGATGTCACAAGGTTAAACATACATTTATAGGTCATTAATGCCATTGGTCAAGTGATGAATAGCTTTAGAATCTTATACTGACCCTTTTTAAAAAGCCTTCAAAATACACAAGTGCATCCATGTCATCCGCCCACCCCCACCCTCCTAGAAAAAATCCGCGAAATCGTTTGAGATCTTTACGTCGATAGGAAGAGCATTAGGCAGCGGGCCAAATGCTCGAACAACCTCATCTGCAGTTCCTGACTGCACCACGCGTGAGTGGTTTTATCTCAGCGATAACTACAAAGCAGGGGATATTTGGCTTACAAATGGCGCGGAGGATCAGGGTTTCTTTGTGCGTTACGATGGTAGGTCTAGCCGGATCCCCTCCTAGTGTCAGCAACTCATGAATGCCTGACTAGTCTTGGGTTTTTCCTTTCACGGTATTCGACTTTGTCTGACAAAGGGATATACATATATTCATGAAATGTATGTCACTGATGACAATCAACTTTACCTCAAACATCTACTTTTTATGCAGTTTTAATAGTAATGCTTTAATCAGATACCCATCATGATATATTTTGGAGAAGGGCACTGAGTTACTGAGCTGCTTCTAAGTGGCACTACTCATAATCGCCTCCTACAACGAGTACAGAGTCTGAAAGAACTTTTGGGGTGCACTGAGGATACTATTGCCTCGTGACGGGCACCATTGCCTCAGTGCACCCCATAAAAGAAATTTTTGGGGCACACATTGCTTCATTGTGGCCACGGTTGCCCAGGTAAACCCCAAAAAAGAACATTTGGGGTGCAATGAGGGTACCATTGCTTCTTTATGGGTACCATTGCCTCAGTGCACCCCCAAAAAAGAAATCTTGGGGTCCACCATTGCCTCATTGTCACAACATCACTGTGCAGAAGCAAAACGCAAGTATTTCAAAAAGCGGATACTTATAATTACTACCAGTCTGTGGTGTGCGTGTTCTACGTTCACAAAATGGGAATAAAGGACGCGTCAGACTCAATGACATTTTACCGCCCACTCTGGCCAAATTTGCGATCCATGTTACTTACTAGTAGGCAAACCAATAGTGTGTGCTATACGGCGAGTAGCCCATCCATGAAATCACACCTATCAGATTCACCACTACATGATGTATACCCTATTGCTAATTCCATTCCGGCTCCACACGAAATACCTGGTTTTACGGGTTACTTACATGTACCAACACGATTACCATCTCCTCCTGAGGCATTATTTCTTAGTAATGACACACTAGATTTTCTTAGATGCAGTACTAGGATATGATCTTATATACTGGTTATGGCTTGGGACCGTATAAACGAATTGTGGGGATAGAAGGGCCTTTTTATTAAGGATTTATGATCATGATTACTGACCAAATGGAACGACTCTCCCAAGCCTTAAAACTGCCTGGCCAGTATAACTGCCATAAATGTTGTCGTCAACAGGAGATGGTTTTCATTACGAGGTCCACCCAATTTGCCACCACCCTGGCGATGTCACTGTGATGAAGTTCAAGGTGCAGCAGCTCCATGTGTGTATGAAAAAGACTATCATGAATGTATAGTTCTTTGGTGGTGCTAAAAATGGCATTAAGATATAACATTTCGGCAGCGTTTGATGACGTTAAAAGGACATTTTATTACCTCTGACTCATTATAGATGCGTATTGCCATTGCTAATTGAGAGATTTGACTAATGCTTTTATAAATCAAATATAGTACGCAAAGACAGATAAGGTTAATCTTTTCCAGGCAGCTTGCAATCTGATTTCCGTCTGTTTACGAGTTAAAGCTATAAACTACCTTTGATCTAGGATATGTCTTTGATAGGATTGGGATTTTCTTACTCACAACCAGTACTTGCTAACGTTTGATGTCTATCAGACACCTTTCTAAATTATGGCAGGTTTGCGAGTCAACCTGTTTTGAGCTAGCCCTCGTCCATGGGCGCCGCCATTTTGTTTCCCATCATGCTTAGAGAGAGGTATATGATGAGAAGGATTGCCGCCATTTTGGATTTGACGTAATTCTCTCAGCATGACGGGAACGAAACATGGCTTGACCCATATTGTGTTTTAACGGATAGTCGGATGGTGTACTGCGTCATCTTTTTTGGTACCGTTGATCTAGAGACTAAGAACAGAGACAGGTAGAGGCGACTTACACATGACTTCCACCTGGACACTCTCCTCGTCCTCTGAGACGACATTCTCCGCCCTACAGGTGTACTTCCCGGCGTCGTTCTTGGTCACGTTGGTGACCACCAGCGTGATCACGGCAGCGGGACCATCCTCCTGATCCTTCAGTTCCTTCAGCCGGGTCGAGTTCAACAGTACTCCGTTTTTCCGCCACTCGATCTTCGTCAGGTCCGGCTTGGAGTCCGCCACGGTGCAGTTCAGAGCTATCGTGCTGCCGACGTGAACTCGTAAGTGGTTCTCTTTTCCAATGGATAGTTTGGGTGGAACTGAAATGAAAAAAAGGCACAGACAAATTGAATAATGTCTTCCAAAATTACAGATATCTTAGTTGAGGAGCTTGAATGTGGGCAAAAGCGTTTCACGAACAACATAGTAGTAGAACATACATGTATTAGGTAATACACATATACACGTCATATTACCAAGGGGACTGAGTGTTGTGTTTACTTGGTAACCGTGATAACTACGCGTACCATTATATAATGATATGTATTAAATTCAGAATATAGAGCTCTCTTGACAGCAGTAGCAGTAGCTCGAGTCCGATCATTATTGTGAATTCTCCACATCAATAAGAATGAAAGTTGCAACGGCAATAACGCATTAGCCTTACTAGCAGTCTACGCGTCTACAATAGTGAATCTGCATGCAGCTTCATGCCACACGGTTCAAGCACAAGGTCACTAATTACGTATCTGTTAGAAAGGACCCTGACTTTTGCGCAGCGGGAGACAGTCTTTACTTCTACTACTAATCACAGTTTCCGGGAAGGTAATGGCGCACCATCGCGCATTGGGCCACCTCTTTTTCATGGGTCGGCATGTTGTAACTGATACATCAATTTCTTCAATAAAAGACGGTCCCGAAGAGTTGATAGAGTTGATATCAAGAGTAATTACACGACTTCATGGCGACTTGAACCACGTAAAAGCTTATGCCTGTAAGCCTAGAAAGATAACGGACCCATCTTTGCGCTTTGAGATCATTACAACCATAAAGTCTTTTGAAGAGCACCTCAGACTTTGTAGGTGGTTCTTTTACTAAGAAAATTTATAGCATTTATCATCAGTTAAAAGAAATATATGCGTTGACGCCACTTGTAAAGATACCAGTGCAACACAAAGACCTTGAATTACAGAATGATTGGGATCTGGGTCTCTAATAAAAACTGTCTACACCGCGAATGTTGCCGTAGACGCCAGCTGCGTCCGTTCAGATCTGTCATGCGTTTGCCAGGAAAAGAGCATAACTCATAAAACGTTTCCCTTGTCAAAGGATTTGAATTTCATCCAACGAAGATCTGAGCATTCTGCTGAAGTTTCCAAAAAGCTTGAAATGATAAATAATTCACTACTTAAGTTCCCTTTGGTATCTCAGTAGAATTTCCACTCCTCTGTGTCTGCTTTGGAAAGGGAATCCCCTTCTTCCACCTGGAAAGAATTAGCTCTTTGAATATTTAATGAAAAATTCCAGAAGAGAACTTTGTAGTCAATATGTGCGATATCAGATTAGCGATTTTAACTTTTAAGCAGTCTCCTTTCGTTGTGTATTAATGAATGGTCAAGCCTTAGGTTCGAAACCCAATATTTAGACCCACATAAAATCATCGGTAACGTCTTTGATATTACTACTGTCGAGGAACAGTGATCTGTGTCTAACAAAGATTACCCACTTCCGCCAAGTGGAACCCCGGAGGCACGACCGAATATTGATTTTTGGAATTTGAGAGCATCCAGTTCAGTTCAGTGTCGACTTGCCCAAATCCCTTAATCCCCCGACTTTGCACAAAACGGGCACAAATTGATGGATCCATGAGAAGATTAGTATGTATGTGGAGAAGTTGGGATAGTCGGTCACATTAACGCCTGAAGACGATGGCCATTCCTGCAAGGAGACCTTTCATTCTGAAACCATTACTTACTGAATTGAAAAGGAATACAATCCATGAAAGAAACAGGAAAGGTTGTAGAAGTGAGAAACACATGGAGGCCAGGGACAGGTGCGAACAGGTGCAGATTGGGGTTCAAGTAAATAGACGAGTGAAGTACATGTAGCACCAACACTAGTCACAATGGGAAGTGACTGTAAGCTTTAGCAATTGGTCAGCTTGTCAGTGTTCCTGTATGCGAAACTAGTGCTTTCGATCTGTCATTGAAGAAAATCAGACCCCCATCTAAACTAGCTCATAACGATCATGATAGATTATTTCAAACATATTGATCTGATCGTTAAATAGTCATTTGTCGCCGAGCTTCAATTGATGAAAACATCCCCATGAAGTGATACCCAAGTCTTTTTTTAACATAGGTAATGTCAACTCGATGCTTAGCGCTTGCTTCGCTGCCAAAATGCCATACGGACCAGACAGACGCTTTGGGCACTTTTTCTAGATCACAGTAATCTGTATCCAGGAACAAAACATAAAACACAACTACTGTTTGTGTTAATGTGGCTTTTACGGAGCTAATGGAGCAATCACTTATGCTGTGAGGGTTCTCTCTAAATAAATGTTTGCCCTAATTTTGAAATGGATCCGTAATGGGTCTGTTGGGGTCGATCCAGCAAGTTTATAGACGGTTCATGCCGGAAATAAATGATGCCGAAACGCCTACTATCTCCTATACAAGCCTCTTTGGCTAATTTAGCTTTTAGGACATATTTACAATTCCCCCAATGGAAATCTGGGAGTAAGTCAACAACAGGCTACGACTGAAACTAGTAAATACACGTTTTCATCCCATAAAGAAAATATGTTTTATTAGGTTTTGTCTCTGTAGCAAAAAAAAAGGAGTCTGCTACGCAGTACGGTCTTTACGAGAATAATAATAAATTGACTATGATAAATTGACTATGAGAAATACTTGATATACATGTGTGATGCATATTTTCAAGTCCTTTATAATTACAGGAAATATCTAAGACTGAGAAGGTGGTTCTTACCGATTATGATAAGCTTGACGTATTCCTCCGTTTGTCCAATGTCGTCCATGAGTTGTGTCATGACATACAGGCCCTCGTCGGAAAGCTTGGCGTCGTCTATCCGCAGCGACCCGTCCATGTTTAACGAGGCCCGCCCCTGCAGTGGTGTCAAGGCGTGGCCCTTGGAGGCGGCTGAGTACATGTACACGGCGATTCTCTCTCTGCCCGACTCGCCGCTCACCCGGCTCCACGTCACGGCGATCACCTTGTCCAGGTCCACCTTGCTCTGCACGGGGAGGGTGACGGTCTCGCCTTCCATGCCCTTGACCTTGTTGGGGGTGACGGGGGCGATCCCCAGCCCGTTACAATGGACTCCTTAGACAGCGTGCGAGGAAAGGTAATATGTCAACATCAACATCACACAACACATTCTCTGTCTCTCTCACTGTCAGTCAGTCTCAAAATACTATAAATTGAATTAACTGCGCAAAACATGATGGATACAGTTCGAGCTCAAATTCAATTCCAATTTAAAGTCCACGCTTAAGTTCATATCACACTGATGTCACATTGGCTGATATATATTTTTAATTGTTTGTTCCAACAAATTTATTCTTAGTAAGGTTCATGTTGGTAACTAACACATCACTTATAGATGTCACTGTGGTACATGCAGCTAATGTGATGCTGGAAGGTGTCAGACTGTTCGTTCTTTTGGTAAGTATAAAAATTATGTAAATTTAAGAATGACATAAGGATGGTTAAAAATAAGTAAACAAAAAACAACAAAAATGAACAAAGAAAATATCACAAGTGATTACAGCGATACCAAATGTTACGTGTCCCCTGAAACTCACTCCTAGAATGACCGGCTGACCAACATATCCCAGTGGGGAGGGAATATACCCCAGTAGGGTTTTGGTATGTGTGATGCAACGCAACCATTCCGGTCCAGTGGATAGCTCTCAGACACTCTCAGCTAAAATCCTCCTCTAGACTTTCACTGAAATGTCAGATTGAACCTCCACCAAACCTCAATGTGACCCTAATGACCTCCAGACACTATAGGGAATGCCGAAAAACATATTTCCGCCAGCCGACCGTACGAAATTAGATACTACCATTAGGGCATGTTCAAGTATCGACATAGTCGGGAAGTGGAACTGTTGATGGCGATTTTGTCATTTGCGCCACATTTTCTGTGACGGTTATGTATTCCTATCGGAGTGAAGAACACACTTAATTGAATATGGGCAGAATTTAAAGGAATAATGGATATGACTGTCATTTAGCGACCGTTAAGCAATATGGTGGCCACAGGACACAGAAGATAAAAGTACCAACCGTATAAGTCATTGGCAATCGCGTAAAAGAATTTACGTTTTAGTTATAATCATCATGTCATCATGTAATACACGAATGCGCTGTCTGAGAAGACTTTGAGCAGGCACATACACGTATACACTACTGTCACTGTGCCCGCCACATATACATACGATATTATTTTTACGTGTCTCTCTCTCTCTCTCTCTCTCTCTCTCTCTCTCTCTCTCTCTCTCTCTCTCTCTCTCTATATATATATATATATATATATATATATATATATATATATATAGATAGATAGATAGATAGATAGATAGATAGATAGATAGATAGATAGATAGATAGAGAGAAACTTAAATTAGTTACAAAACATGTCTTCAATACATTCTGTTGTCATTGTCCTTGTCAGTTTACAATTAGCCCTTGGCCATGAACTTGCAATAATGAACCCTATTTAAACTACATTTGTATCTAACCATGATAAGCCGGCACTGATAACAATTGTGTATTGTTTTACCGTGAATGGCATACAGCAGACAAATGCACTTCAGCAGTACACCCAGTTTCAGCATGGTCACTAGCCGCCTCCTAGTCTCCTCGCCGCAGAGTCAAAACTCCAAATCTGTAGCAATACACATAGAATAGGTACATGATCAATCCAGGGCGTCATCACTCCTACGGAGGAACCCCTCCCTTGACTTGCTCCACTCTCGTCTGAGTCTGGCATTCCTGGGCCAAGCAGGGCCCAGGTGTACATTATAAACATGCAAATTCAGCATCGCACCTCTCTCTTATCGTTTTAACTTTGAATTTATACTATTGTTTCCGCTTGTTTGTACCTCGTATGTGGCGACCAAAGACCAGTTGCCAAGGCTATATGTAGTAGACACAAGATCGAGAGGTCGCGTGTTCGATTCCTTGCATTCCTGGCTAGACGTTGTGCATTAGGGAAAGTCACTTTAAACGGCTTTCCTCACTCCACCCAGGTGCAAAATGGGCACCTGGCGTTAAGGTGATGGAGAAGAGGGATGGGCTTCCCCTTCCCTTCCAATACCGTGCCCTAGACACAGTGGATAACAGCTCACTGCCCCTACGGCCTCGAAAAGGCTACGGGACTACCTTTACCTTTTATCTTTTAACTGCACAAAATCCATACCCTAAAGCATGCGTAAAGGTTCCGTTTCTTCCTTTACATGTGTGCTTAAAGGATTTCGTGCATTGTTTGTACCGTCGAGACCTGCAGCTGGTAGCCTGTCAATATTTGACAAATGCCACTTCTTTTGAAACACGCCCAGTCCCCAAAGTTGTCGTCTTAGGGGTTTATCTTTTCGTGGATGATAATGGACTGTAATACGCCAGCGGTTTGATCGCTTCTTTGGGGACTCCGCTTTCTATTAGCTAATCCGATCTTTGAATGCGTTGTGTCAATATCCTTGTCAACCGATGAATAGAATTGGAAACGACACAGCTGGAACTTCAGAGCACTGCACTTCTTGCGAAGATGTATGGTGATGTGTTATTAGTGAACAGACTACTTAAATGGGTCAATTGTTCTGAAACATCTGTAAAATAAAGGTTTGGGTACCATGCATGCTACGAATATTACGGATGTGATAATGGATTCCTTAAACATATTTATGTGGGGTCATGTGACTTAACGGCAGAGTGCTCGGCTCGGAACCAAGAGGTCCCGAGTTCGAATCCTGCCACGCCACCGATCTTGTGCCCTTGAGAAATGAATTTTACACGACTGCCTGCACTTAACTCAGTTGTAAGTATTATCTAGAATTGCCCGTTAAGTCACATGACCCCACATAAATATGTTTAAGGAATCATTGTGCAATAAAAATAAGTTGAAAAAACTTGAGTCACCATGCCATGTGTTAAATGTTGGAATAAAAAAGAATTTATAAAAAATCTTTCTTGGAACTCCTGTAAATGCCATTACGCTCACAAAATTAGTTTCCTGTGATTTTTCCAAACCCCGTTGTGAAATATCACGACACACAGCAGACCGGCTAAGTGAATTCCTTTTTCCTCCAGCACGCTCCGTTTTCCATTCCAACCTAAAAGGTTGCAAAGTTCCAAGCTGAAGGGTTACAAAGGTCGAGGAGAAATTTCTTGGCTGTACGTCCAGGCACTGCTGCACTTGTGAGTATGACATGATGACCCGCTATCCGCATAGGTCAAGTTACAGTCACCCTGCCAAATCCCAGATTGCCCTACGCATGCCCCTGGAACATATCACAGCAGCCAAGAACTTGACACGCTCTGGAATTCTTACTTGTATAGACTGCTATAAAGTTATGATCTGCAGTTCTTACTTTTAATCTGTCCTTTATGTGCTTAGGGGGTCCTTTTTAATTACCTACATTTTTATATAGTTCTTGAGACGTAGCTTCAAATGGAATCGACGAGTTGACAATGAACGCTTCAAAGTTTTTCCTCAATTATAAGAGATTCAACTGCTCTATGTTGATAGGTACCTGAGAGATAATCTATATCTCCCTTCATCTCCAAATGTACTTTTGCAATTGGACCTGAAGACAGCAGCACTGACATAATGGAATTGAATCTAAACGATGTCGGCAGTGACAAGAATGTCATCTTAGCCCTGGACAAGTCGATATACGAACTGGAGATATTGAGGTTATTGTTGTCTTGTTCTGGACCATGGCTAAGGAAACCTTATGCTACCAGGACTTTAACAACAATAATTGCCAGACTGATATTATTTGTTTGTATTATATTATCAGCTATAACTATACCTCATATTGATCATGTTTAAGTGGTTGGACTTGCTGCACCTGCAACTGTGTTGGGTTGATTTATAACTCGGTCAGTAGGTCCGAACTCCCGATTATCACGTAACAATCAGGGTCGGCTGTTTGGAGGAGGCTGTACAACGAGGTAATTCTTCAACGCCAAGATGGGATGGCTAATGTGAAAAGTAGGCCTTCGCATCCCCAACCAATAGAGATGGCGGCTGCACACAAACACCTAACCCGCCTTCGTGTATTCAGGCGTTTTCACATTGTGAACTGTTCACACGTGGTGGGTTTTACAACGAGCTTATATATATCACTCCGCGCGCACAGATGCATTTTGGTATCGTTCCGCAATCTAGTTCCATTCTCGACCCATCCCGCATGAGGTACCACCTTATATTCCTTGTCGACGACAATCAATCAACTTTACTTTACTTCTCAACAACTGTAACTGTATGGCAAGGAAGAAACAACAGAGATACATGAACTATTCTACTAAAATTACATTCTAACATACTTAATCCATACCAGCTATACTGAATTTCAATTCTACCAAAGCTAATCTATAGCATGTTTTTCTTAAGGAGAATATTATTACAATCTATAATTCAGGAGATATGTCAGTTATTTGCAACGCAGAGTCGCTTTTGTAGTGGAGTGGAATTGGGAAGGTGTCGCGTATGAAGGATTATACCATAGCCTGGCATTAAGCCAGGAAATCTGCCGTCCCGACAGCCTGCCGTGATTGTAATGGCACCGACGCTGACGTTTATGCCTCGATTTCCATTAACGTCAGTCATAAAAACTGAATATATCACCCATTATTCCCGTAAACAACATAACCTTACACTGCCCCTCTGAAGCCGTAATGCTGGATATAAAAGGAAGAATTAATATTATTCCGTGTTATTAAAAGCCAGCAGATTATATGTAAGAGTCCGTATGTCATCTTAGACACAGAAATATTGCCTGACGAATTATCGCGCATTTATCCTTCAAAATCGACAGATGGCGTTTTGGTCTCCACCCGCTATAGGTGGCACTGACCGAAAGTTTGTTTAACACAATTAAGGTAAATTTAATCTAGGTATAGCTTTAATAAAATTCCTAATAAAATCCATAATTACCAAAAGCTGTTTGGTAAGGATTTTCTAATTCTAAGGATAGAGTGAACGAATATAACAAAATGTCTATTTTTTCAATTGATTGTTCAAAGAAAAAGAACAGAAAGTGAACCACACAACGATAAACAATAATGCGTAGAGTAATTATAATGGTAATAACAATTCAAAATGTGATAATAAAGGATAGTGATAAATTAAATAAACTTCAAGAAATCAATAGAACTTTTGTTCATAACAGACGACTCAAATATAACAATAAAAATGTCTATATTTTGTAGATACGTTAGTTGCGTGATATACATGTATGTTAAGTATCTGTTGGGGTCATGCAAGGATTCTGAGAGATTCACGCTATCAATCGTTACTCCTGCCATTACCGGTAAAGCTCGAAAGTTTGTTTCCAATGTCTTTGTCTAAGTCAATTCGTTTATTGTGAGTCAAATGGACAGCAACCTTGATTTTATGCATTTCAAGATACCATTGACCTCTAGAAAATCAACGCCAAAATGTCCTCTTTAGCGGACGAGCAATAATCAAGTTCTCAGATGCCCGTTCGCAATTTGGAAACGTCCCGCTTTAGTGCTGCCCTTGTGTCTTGACCTACGTGATTGCGACTTTAAGAGGATGGATTCTTTCATCTCCAGAATCCCAACTGAAGACATAGAATCTTTTAAGGCAGTAAATGAGATTGCTGCTTGCATTATGGGCATTTCCTGAATATGGAAAAACATTGATAATTGCAAATTGTCTCACGAGATTCAGCATTTATTAGTAACAAAGGCCATAGTGCGAAATGGTGGTCTTTTGAAAATGTATCCATAGAGGGTCATGATAAGTGATAACCCGGAGCAATTGGTACAAACTCTTGTCAACTTCAAAGCTACCAAAGGCTCGTGTCTGTCCCAACACAACCCTGTAATTTTCGGACTAATCACACGCTTGATACACTACGTCTACAGCCCTAATGAGGCTCGTCGTTTTTCCGATTGGTTCTGAATTTTTAAACGGGTCGTAACAGCTTCAAGTGGTGCCAATTTGTCGGGGATGATGGCAATTAATAGCTGTCCACGGTGAAGAACCGTTTTTCCGGCAACCCGCTTTCCGGGAATGTAGTTCATTGGGTGGGTCATCTCCACAACCCCTGTCCATGTTGAATTTTTTAAAATAATCTCTTTCTTCTAGTATTTTCCAATCCAAAAATCAATAAAGAAATGTGAACCTTAAAAGGAATGTAAAAAACAGAAAGACAGTGTCTAATCTAACAATCTATAAAATCATGATAATAAAACAGATGTTTATTATTTTATTAAGTTTTGTTATGTTTTATATTTTATTTCCGATTTTTGTGCAATTATGTATTTTGTTTTGTGATAGTACTTTACGTAGGATATGTATCCATCAAGTGTGGCAAGTTTCCACTATCTATTTGTAGATGTATAAAGTTTCAAAATAGTAACTGTAAGCGAAAATGAACATAATATATTATGGATACTTGGTAAGTTAAGGATGTACATGGCAAGACTACGGCATTTGCTCTAAAGAAGATTGGGAATATACGTTTTCTAACAAAAAGATATCCAATCTCGGTCTAGACCCTTTATTTTAAGGTTTTATTGCCGGTAGACATAGATCGCTGGTATAGACAATCGTTAGTGTGGCAATAAACAATGTTTCTAAAGTTGTGACGGCTTTGATGTTGACATTACCCGCGTCCTTGATCTTGACTTTAC